GGTGTTTGGAACTGATTCTGCTTCTACTTCTTTTGTAAAGCAGAAGCAGAATCAGAATCAGTTTTAGAAGCTGGAACCAGAAGTGCTTCTGGAATTTCAGCCAAACACTCCAGCTTCTGCTTCTGCTCCCTGAAGCAGCAGAATCCGTTTTGAGAATCAGATCCAAACACTCCCTTAATCGACGCAGTTTTTTGAGGAAAATCATGACCCCAAGATTGGCAAGGTCCTCTAAGCAATACTTTTTTCTAATTTATGGGTATGTTTGGCAAATGGCTTATCAGCCAGCTTTTAGCTTGTTTGACCCATTTCAGCTGTTTGATTAGTCAAAGAAGCTAATAATAATGTTTGATAAATGGCTTTTAAAATTAGCTTGTTAAGTTTGAAAAGCTGAAAAAATGGAAGGTTGAAGAAGCTAAGGGGGGCAGCTTCTTCATTCGGCTGGTTCAATTTATTCCCATAAGGGTATAGCTCTAAGCTCCCAAAGTGACTGCATATAGCTCCAACTTATTCCCATTGTGGTTTTGCTCTTTTTTTTTAACTTAGTCAACCCAATTATTTTGCTTACCAGTTTTTCTTCCTTTCACACCCTTTGCTTTCATTGTTTTGAGTTAGCATTTTTTAAATTAATCATTTAAGTAATATATACTACGAGTAATAATTACTATAATTATTTTAAACAAAACTTGTTTAATCAAATACGTAGTACTATCTAGACAAATAATATATGCTTAACTAATACGGAGTATTTTATATTATTAGTTATGATCTCTATCTTAAATTAGATACTATAAATTTTTATATTATGATGACCATTTGATATATCAAAGTAGATATTAAAATAGATTTTATTCAACAAATTTTAAAATTTCCAGTTATAAAAATGATTTATATCGTTGAAGTAACAATAGTTATAAAATTTTCATTCTTAGCAATAATAAAATACAATGAGTACGTCTTTATATGTCTTTTTACACTCTATCAACCATTTCAAAACAGCCAATTTTACCAAACAGTTATTTATAATCGGCTAACATAACCAGCCGGTTTAAACAGCTAACACAACGTACCAGTTGTTAGGAAACAGCTGACACAACTAGCTAACAGCAACAGCTAACAGCCATTTACCCTATGGGGGTGTTTGGTTGGGAGTCTATCAGCAATTTTTTTGCTGTTTTGACTAATATTTAGCCTTTTGACCAGATGAAACAGCTAATAGAGTGTTTGGTTACATAGCTTTTTCATTTGGCTTTTTTTTTTTCTAAACAGCCAAAAATAAAAAAGCTACAAAGGGGGTGTTTGGTTGGGAGTCTATCAGTCATTTTTTTTGCTGTTTTGACTAATATTTAGCCTTTTGACCAGATGAAACAGCTAGCCTTTTGACCAGATGAAACAGCTAATAGAGTGTTTGGTTACATAGCTTTTTCATTTGGCTTTTTTTATCTAAACAGCTACAAAACATGGCGTCTTGACATTAGCCGTTTTAGCAATCTCCTAATTTTCCTAATCTACCCACGCCCCCCCCCATCCCCCCGTTTCGTTACTTCGTATGTCAATAACTATACCAAACTCAGGTTCCGACTTCATAAATACAAGTCAGTGAATTGACTGAATTCATTCGAGTTGCTCCTAGTTTCTTTTATTTATTTATTTATTCCAATTTCTTCTAAAATTATGTTTTCGCTATTATTTATTCCCAACGTTTTGATTTTGCCTTTTATTTTACATTCAGTTATTAGTTTTATCTGTAGGCTAGGTCTCTAATCTACCTTAGGGCTTAATACATTAAAAACAACGTTTAAAAAAATTAGTGCTTCTCTTATAATATTTTTATTTTGTTGTAAATCATAAAAAATGTTTAATTAGTCGTGAAAATAACATTAACAAAATGTACGATATGTATATAAAAGTATTTAGTAAATAAAAACTTAATTGATGTCCTTAAAAATTATTTAACAAGTTATCAGTTGAACTCAAACATCTATTTAACCAAAGAATATTTTGCAAACTGCTAATACTATCAGCTGATCAAAACAACTAACAGAATCCGCTATTATTAATCAGCCAACACAATCCGCCAATAGCCAACAGTCATCTCCCATTTGCCAAACACCCCCTATATATTTGATTAAGATGATAATTTGAGGGGGTAAATCGGCTATGCAGTTTCCCAAGGAAGGAGAACTATTTGGTACATTATCACTTGACTATTTGTGATTCAAATCAAGTTTTTTAGACACTAATAAATGAGAACTATTTGGTACATTATATCACTTAACTTTCTCCCGCATCACTTTGATTGAAAATAAAAGATTTTCTTTTACAATACCTTTATATCATTAGTCAATCCAATTATATAAAAAATTATACTCCTAATTATTTTTACATAATATAGTCAACAACCTTTTTAAAACTTAAACTTTATATTAAATTATATATTCATTCTAAGAAAATACAAACACAATAGCAGAATGAATTAACAAAATTAGCAAAATATATCATAGCATTAACACCCCAATTAACAAATCACAAAATTAACGAATACTTCGTAACTAATTTTAAAAAAACCGAAAGAACTAAGGACATGACAAATTGACTTTGATAGAATTAGTCCAAATTCATGGGGGCCTCAACTATGTAGATTGGGGGCACTACCTATTTTATTAGATATATATGCATATATTTACATTAAAAATTTGGAGTTCATTGGGGCATGTGCTCCCATTAGTTACTTCATATGTCCGCCCCTACTCATTAATAATGTTTTTGAGAACATTATGACAAATGCAACTTACTTTAGTTTAAGGCTGTGTTTAATTTGAGACTAGATGAGACTATACATTAAGACAGTTACAATTTGCTTTATCTTTTCTTCAAAGTCTTATAAAGCTAAATGAGGATTGATACAAGAGTTGGATATTACATAGTATTATACTTTGTGTTTCTAAGAAATCACTCTCTCTTTATTACGGAGTATATGATTTTCTTGTATTTGTCTTCTAAGATTAAAGAGTTTAAGAGCCAATGTTATCAAACCATCTTTGTGCATTATTGTTAGGGTTATTTACCTATATATGAGTAAAAGTTGTTAAAATTCCTATTATATGACTTGACTTGTTATTAGTCTTCTGTATGACTAAAAATCCAAAAACAACTCCCACCCCACGTAATGAACAACACGAAAGGACAGAATTGACCTCATAAAGTAAACGTGTGTATCCTGTGTGTAGTTGAGAAACTAGGCTTTTGCAAAGGAAAGTAACGGAAACAACCTGCAAATAGCTATAAAAGACGGAAAGTATTGCGGCCGAGCTTGATTCTCCGGAACTTCGATTATCGAATAACGGAATGAATTAAAAAAAATGCTAAATGTAACTCACTATATATTGTGATCGAGACTTCCTCAAGAAATATAAATGAGAAGGTGTGACCCTTAAAACTTTGAAAAGAGCATACGAATATGTTGTAATTGTCTATTGAAAAAATTATGAAGGTGTAGCTGTGCAGTGATAATTTATGTTTTAGTAATGCCTTAAAAACGTGCAGTAAATTTGATAAATTGATACTAAATTTTCATATCATGCATTATTATTTTGTATAGCAATTTTTAAAGAATGCAATAGTACGTAGCTCATTTGATGGTTTCCAATTAAAAGTTTCTAATATTTAGATAGTGCATTATTCCAATAAAAAATTCAATGCACAATAATAATGCACAATATCTTCCAAAAAAAATATCAATGCACAATATCAATGCACAATATATCTTCAATGATTCAGAACAATTATTGTTGATCAACCGGGCCGTCATACCCAACTGGCCAACCAAAACCCAGATTCCCAGAACCATGTATGAGATATTTTTTTACCAATATTATTAAAAAATTCCAATAATAAACTAGCTTTTACATATACGTGGGTCGTGCATATCATCATTTAACATACATGAGTATATTCCTTATTCTTAGGAATGTTACAGATACATCGCCGTTTACCTATTAGTTGTGCAAAGCAACTCCGTATTTTTAGGAAGATTCAATTACTCATTACTTGATACGGTTGAGGGCAGATGTGGAATTAAAGAAAAAATTAAAATTCAGGAATGGCCTTGTGCCGTATACGAGTATTACAATAGGAAAAAAAGTGATGAAGTCATATATTGAGAAACACATCATCTTTTAGTCATAAGTGGGGTAAATATCTCTTATTGTTACTTATCTTCATCATAGCGATAATGCTTAGAATTAATCGGAGGGCGTTGTTTGCTTTTTCTAGGCATTTCGTCTCTGTCCGGAAACGAGTGGTATTCGTTTAGATCTCTCATCTCGATGTTCACTATGTACAAAAGAAGTCCTATAATAGCTTGGATATGAGTAGAAAATTGAAATGTTAATGAACTTTGTGAGAGCTAGACTTTAGAATATAATATGGTCTTTTTGGGTCCACAATTCTATCGTTCAACTTGCACATTAAATATTATTGGGCATTCCACACGCGCAAGGCGCGTTGTAAAACTAGTATAACATAAATAGCAGCACATATGTGTGTGTGTCTACAGGGAGCAGTTCCGGTAAGAACGGACTCCCATGAGAGAAATGAGAATGAATCTAGACCGTTGGATTGTATCATGTACAACTGAATTGTTGTTTAATGTCCCAGCCAAGTTCCCACTTCCTTATTTGGTAAACAAATCTACACCAAAACAGTGCCAAAACAATGCAAAACAGTGTCCCAACAATGTACTCTACAGTAAAATTTATCGCTCAGTAAATATTCTTGATATGTGTGAAGTCAAACTAGAAACTTAATTAAGAACCGGATGGAGTATAAGTTATCAAATAACGCACATTTGGACTTGTTAAAAGAAAACTCATATAATTTCATAAGATCATCTAAAAATGAGATTTCATCAAATCATAATTTCGGGATTTGACTTTACTAACGCCAAATCCCAAAAAATTAGTCTTTAATAGAACAAGTCATTACACAGTTCAAGTTTTGAACACAGTCATTCATTCCATCTAGATGTTTAAGTGGGAATGATATTATGATAAACATTCCTCCAGTAATATTATACGAAGTACTACGTACATATTAGCCAAAGTAGCATTAACGGTTTGTTTGCAACCACTTGTGCTTAAATAAAAGCACTTTTTGGGAAAAAGTGATTAGTAGTAAAAGTTGGTAGTGTTTGGTAAAATAAGTGCTTTTTGTGTAATAAAAAAAGTAAAAAGTAGATTCTACACAAAAACCGAGAAAGTAAAAGTTGGTAGTGTTTGGTAAAATAAGTGTTTTTTTCTTAAAAAAAAAAGCCAAAATCACTTTTTTAAGTGATTGCAAACAAGCCAAAATCACTTGTACTTCACTGCTAACTTGATAGAGTTTGTAGACAAACTATTGCCTACCCATAATTGGCTACACTATCACAAATCATTGATTGAATGAAATTATTGCAGTTAACGCCAAACGCAATGCCTGCATTGCCAATCACACAATCTTCATTTCAACGTTTGTGGAAAATTTCAAAATCATTTGATTAAATTGAGAGTCGAGATTGCTTATAACAAACTTTACAAGTGCTGGAAAGGAGGAAACTAGCCGCTTAACCAAAGGCAGACTATTCTCACATGCATCAAAGAAGTCAATACTCAAAGTGTGAAGCAAGTTGTGTGTTTCAGCCACTCGATAAAGTTCCTTTGAACTCTCCGACTTTGTGTCTAAACAATCTCTCAGAGCTTTGACAAACTTCAGGAAGTCCGAAGAAAGTAAAAGAAGAAATCCTCAATGAGCCAAAGTTCACAACGATGTAGATTAACAGATGCATGACAATAAATAGTGGAAAAAACTAAAATATTACAAAGCTATTATTTGTCTTAAGGAAAAAATACTACCTCCATTTCCATATGAATTTTGCGCAACTTTGGACATAATTTCAACAAATGAATGAAAGCAGAAGAAACATCATCTTCATCATTATATGAATTTGATAAATAGAGGTACTCCACATTTAGTACATGTGGTTGTAGTTGTGGTCCACTGCACGGGTAGTCTGCAAAGAAATTCTTAGAATCTAGTGAACAATGTTAGACTAGTTTCTGCAGGGCATTATAAATAAATATGTAGTCCAGAGTAGTTGTAATAAAATAGACTAACATTACCTTGAGAGAAAGGGCATTTAAATTAAGAGTACTAACAGATCTTAATCTTAAGTCCAAGTGAACTGGGAAAAAACCACTGCACTAGTCAAACTAAGAAGACTGAATCTCTAACTTACAGAGTTTCGGTGCAGTAGTGATAAAACTAAACATGTTATCACATCTGATAAGCAACAAACTCTCGAGCATAGGAGCATTAACCCTGTAATCTAGAGCATTATTAGGCTCAAATTTAACATTTACGAAAGAAAGTGAAGTGGCATTTGGTAATATGCAAGGCATATTTAATGGTCCAACAGAGACTCCTTGGAGCCACAATCTCTTGAGTGTTGGACAAGAAAATATGCATTTCGGCAGCGAGTATTCATCTTTTCTGTGTCGATGAAAAGTGAAAACGAATGTCGAGTCCTTCATTCCCTTTACGTGTGATCAAAAGGAGCCATTGATCAATGTCAAATGACTGTGATGTCAGTGAACTCCTCCCATAATGAAAAAGAGAAAATCCAAATTTGCGAATATGGCCTTTGTGCTCTATGAGAACTTTGTTGACTACATACATGCCAGCAGAGGTCAAGATATCACTATTTACTGTTTCATTTTTTGTTGTTTTGGTCCTGACCTCAGTGTGAGCAGATGATGAGTATTTCTTCTCAATGTAACAGAAGAACATATAATCAAAATTGAGATCCCTGAGATTGAACCACATCTCTCTCCAGAAGGTAGATAAAATGGCCATTCTGGCAGCTTCTTGAATGGCCAATAATCCCAATTATTTCCGAGGGAAGTTCACTGAATCTATCTTAATCTGGTCAAGTATTTCCGAGGGAAGTTCACTGAATCTATCCATGCTTCTCGTAGCAATCATCCAAGGAGCAGCTTGAATATGGCTTTGTTTGCAACCACTTGTGCTTAAATAAAAGCACTTTTTGGGAAAAAGTGATTAGTAGTAAAAGTTGGTAGTGTTTGGTAAAACAAGTGCTTTTTGTGTAATAGAAAAAGTGAAAAGTAGATTCTACACGAAAACCGAGAGAGTAAAAGTTGGTAGTGTTTGGTAAAATAAGTGTTTTTTTCTTAAAAAAAGCCAGCACTTATCAACCGAGATTGCAAACAGAGCCTATATGAAATTAAAGAACAAATATGTTAAAACTAATCTACGAAGATACACGGACTTAGGGTAATTAAGAACCTATTTGCAACAGCTTCTGCTTTTAAAAAAGTGCTTTTTTTAATGAAATGAGGAAAAATGATTAAATAAAAGTTGATAGTGTTTGAGAAAAAAGGGATTTTGAAAAGTAAAAGTTGGTTGTGTTTGGTAAAATAAGTGCTTTTTGTGTAATAGAAAAAGTAAAAGCACTTTTGACACGAAAGCCGAGAAAAATAAAAGTTTTAGTGTTTGGTAAAAGAAGTGCTTTTTTAAAGCCAAAAGCCGAGAAGTGCTTTTTTTAAAGCGCTTGCAAACTAGCCCTTAGAGATGTTAATATATACGTAGTAATGAATATGAACATCATAAGAACGCAAAATCGAAATAAGGGGGTGTTTGGATCTTAAAACGGCTTCTGCTCCTTCAGGGAGCAGAAACAGAAGTCAGAGTGTTTGGGTGAAAGTGCTGATTCTTGTGCTCTAATTTACTCCCTGAATCAGTTTTTTAGAAGCTGGGGGAGACCAACTTCTCAAAACTGGTTGTGATTCTGCTTCTGCTTTAAAAAAGAAGCAGAAGCAGAATCACTTCCAAACACCCCTAAGTACGAATCAGAAATCCAGATTCAATTCCAGACGCTTATAAATTAAATTATACCGAAGTATATGTGTGTGTAATCAGTAGGGGTAGACATAAAAAACCGTAACCGACATACCGTACCAAAAAATCGAAAAAACCGGCATTTTTTCCGGTTAACCGAACCATAATTTTAAAAACACACGATACGGTTAACCTACCAAAGGAATAAACGGTTCGCGTTATGGTTACGGTTTTAAAATTATCCCAAGTCGGTTAGCCGATAACCGGAAGTTCAAATGTTACATGATTTGTATCTGCCATAAAAAAAATACTGCAACATGTTACGTACGAGTGTATGACACGTGGTTTACTCATCTGACAGCAACCGTGTTGCAATATCAAAATCTAGGGAGAACTTAGAAATTAGTGACGGTTGACATGAGGATAAGTAAGGAACATGTAAGGATCTTCCGGCTCAGGTCTTTCTACACACACTACTCACATACCGTAACGCCCCTCTCAGGGTTAAAGGAAACGTTACACTAGTCTACTACTTTTAAAAAATAAACTGCAGTATAACGGCCGTCCATTTAAGAAAATAACCCTGATAAAAGCTCAAAAGTAACTAAAACAAATCTAAATAAAAATTTAATAAAATATAGTTATCACCAGCAAATGTGATAACCACATGGATCCGGGAATTTAATCAAGCATCAAAATCCTCAAATAAAATAATTATAATCTCTTTATTATAACACTGAAATACTGAAACAAAATAATATCTAGCTAGAAGCCGCCAAGGTCGTTCCGGTTAACTCATCTTGGCACGCGTCTCACTCCCTCATCATCTTCCTAGGCCTTGGCCTTACCCTTAGTATCTGTACATGCGAAGAAAGAAAACTGATAAGCTTTACGCTTAGTAAGTCACTATGGCTCCACAAAAATATCTAGAAGTCTAGGCCAATTTATCAATAGATAAATTTAGGCTATAAGCATACACTGAACAAATGACTAACACATAACTTCTCAAATACATTCTGGGAGAGATCTCAAAAGGAAAATATTTTCTAAAATAATTTCTCAAAACTTCTGGAGAGATCTCAAAATTTCATTCTCAAAACATCTCTGTAAAACTTTCTGAAAGAGATCTCAAAAACAACTTCATGTGAAACTTTCTGAAAGATATCTCATTAAACAACATTCTGTAAAACTCTTTGTGGCTAATTTTACTCTGTGGGCCCGTGATATGTACTCAAAGGTGCCAATCCGACAGCTCAGGGGAGCGACCCACTAAACATATCGGACTCTCTGAAACTGATAACTCTGTAATTGTGTGGGAACTTGTTCCCGAGTACATATCACTTAATCTTTCACTTTAAGTATTAGTTCTTTTTTTTTTTCATAGTGACGTTTGGATAAAACACCATTAACATTTTGAAATAAAAATACTGACATAATCTTGACTATGCCAGATAATAAACATAATTTGACACGACAAATAAAATAACTCATCAAATAATTCACCAAGTTCACATAATAGCACATAGACTAAAATCATCTATTAAAAATCAGTCAGACTTCTTCCTTTTATTTGGTTGAACAAACATGTACAGGTGATAGTGAACATACCTGTAGAAGCTGAACTCAAATCCTATACCTAAAAGCACTACACTGGAGAGAGAAAATTCTCCCGCCTAGTGCAAAGGACTATTACGTAATTTTCTTCGCCAAAGCTCACCCTCCTTTTCCTCTTCAGCCTAACACCCGTATTTCTCCAATTCCACCAGAAGCAACTCCTGTGATTTCCATGAGTTCTTCTTCCAGAATTCACACTTCACTTTCAAATCCATCCGATTAAGTTTGGGGTATGGTCGATTCACCGCTTCATGGCTCCACTTTATCCATCGTATTTGGAAACCCTCCACACCAAGCCGGCGATAGTTGCTAGAATTGAAAGATCGACCACCTTCTTCTACCTCTCTCAGTCGCAGTGGAAGAGGAAATCTCCTACGCCAAGGAGGACATGGGGCTGATAGCTTTCTTCTTCGACTACATCGATCAAATATAATCTCAAACCCTTCTTCGTAAAGTTAAGTTTTCCCATTCATTCAAATTGACCTTCTTACAGAATAGGTGCTTTCTAATCAAATAGCGTTTCTAGCTCATATTCTTTAAATACTATTGTATAAATAGTTATCTGCTACCGATCAAATTTCACAGTAAGCACAGTATTGTGCTGAAATATATGCAGCTAATTATAGTTGATTTTCGTGAGATCTAAAAGTGCTTAAATATATTTTGCTGTATATATATATATATATATATATATATATATATATATATATATATATATATATATATATATATATATATATTCGGTGAATCAGCAGTACCTGCAAAGCATAGCCCTTAATTTATTCAATCCCTAGATAAATTTATGAGGTAATTTATTCAATCCCTAGATAAATTTATGAGGTAAAACAAATAATGGAATTGAAATAGATTCCATCAAGATAATACTATTTTCAGAACAATCTTAAGAGTGTTTGGACAGAGAAGTTTGGAAGGGGGTTAATCTATTTTGATATATATTTTGAATTTATATTCTGAACAGTGCATTCAACCTATACCTATGACATCTATGATCCAACCTTTGTCTCAAGTTGTTTCATTGAAACTAAACAACAACGGGAAAAGTAAAATCAGTAATTTTATACCTAAAAGCACTACACTGGAGAGAGAGAAAATTCCCCCGCCTAGTGCAAAGGACTATTACGTAATTTTCTTCGCCAAAGCTAATCACCCTCCTTCTCCTCTTCAGCCTAACACCCGTATTTCTCCAATTCCACCAGAAGCAACTCCTGTGATTTCCATGAGTTCTTCTTCCAGAATTCACACTTCACTTTCAAATCCATCCGATTAAGTTTAGGGTATGGTCGATTCACCGCGTCATGGCTCCACTTTATCCATCGTATTTGGAAACCCTCCACACCAAGCCGGCGATAGTTGCTAGAATTGAAGAGATCGACCACCTTCGTCTACCTCTCTCAGTCGCAATGGAAGAGGAAATCTCCTACGCCAAGGAGGACATGGGGCTGATAGCTTTCTTCTTCGACTACATCGATCAAATATAATCTCAGACCCTTCTTCGTAAAGTTAAGTTTTCCCATTCATTCAAATTGACCTTCTTATAGAATAGGTGCTTTCTAATCAAATAACGTTTCTAGCTCATATTCTTTAAATACTATTGTATATATAGTTATCTGCTACCGATCAAATTTCACAGTAAGCACATTATTGTGCTGAAATATTGTGATTTTGAAAAAGATGGATAATCAGTAGGTCTGGTTGAATGTTGTATACAGAGAAGTAATTCTTTCGTCCCAAAAAAAGTTTGTCAAATTGACTTTGTTTGATCAATGATAATCAATTTTGATTGATGATATTTTTAATACGAAATTATTTTGAGTGTGAAAATTATATTAAAACTATAAAAGTTTTAAATTATGTACAATATAATTATCAAAATTATTATCCAAAGTTTGTCATCATTGATTATGAAAAGTTAATATCACAAACTTTTTTAGGATAGAGATAGTATAATTTTCCTTAGAAGTTTTACAATCTGACATGTGTGCCTTTTTCATCATATGATGTTTTGCATTTAATTTTTTGCAAACTGACATGTGTGCCTTTTTCATCGTATGATGTTTTGCATTTAATATTTCAATTTATTTCATAGTTGCGATCACAAACACTTTATTTTAGATTTTATTTGATAATTTCTAGATCTCTAATATTTTTAAAAAATTTACACATCTGCATTTAAATTATTAAGTAGGTATTTCACTCCCGTGCAACACACGGGTGGAGTAACTAGTTATCCAAATAAGTGTGACACCTTGATAACGTCTTCCGGTAAGCTCTTCTTAAAACTCTTTAATTATATATGTAATGATATAATCAGCATTTGCTATCTTTAAAGAAATTCCAACACTAACTAAAATTAGTGAATACCAGAAGTTGACATTTAACTTCATGAAAATTTATTCTCCAAGGATCTGTACAGAAGTCCAGAAACTAATGACCAACTGTGAGGATTAGTTCTGAACCTACATTAAGGAATTTATCTACGGCATCTTAAAATTAATCATTGAAACAATTTTGGTTTAACTAAAATTTTCACCAAATTCTTATTTACAAAGAAACTAACGACTCGTTACCTAAAATAAGAGGAATAGTCATACCATAAGGATTTAGCTCAATACGTACTGATCTTAAGACATTATAAATCTTTATATAACTGATCCTCCATTAGTATAATATTCTGATTTGTCAAGGGTTAAAAAGAAATACTAAAGTTAATAAACTTGAACTATAACGTGGCACTTGGAGAGTT